ATACAACATAGAAAAATGTGTTTTTTTTTCATATTATACAGCCTAAATTGTAGTGCAAATTGGTATGAGAGAAAAGGATCCAGAGCACAGGGAGGGCAGATGTGGCAATCCTGATTGGACCAAAGTAAAAAAGTATCAAAGTATATCTGATTTATAGTACCCTTGGCTCTAAAACTGCACGGTTTGCACTTTTAAAGTATTATTTTCAGGTAATTGCACTGGATGTCATAATGAAAATGACAGGCCTCAACAACTATCCCTAATGGTGATTTGCAGTAGCTCACATTTTTAGCACAAAGTCAGTCTAACCTGGTGCTGAACTGGACTTTGTTTTCCACTGACAACAACAGGAGTGTCAGAGGTGAGCTCCCTCCCACAGCCTGCACTTTCCTGTTTGGGCCTGAATGATGGAGCAATAGATCAGAACTCCAGTGCCAATGAACTACTCAGATTTCAGACAATGCACAAAATTTAACTGAACAATTTAGAGCAAATATTGCAATTGTGATGATTTTGTAAAAGTATAGAGAGAGCACAGACATAATAAGAATCATGTGCATTTCAGATTGTGTTTGTGGAGGTCTAAACTACAGGGTTAACAGTGTGTACACAGTAATGATCCAAAGGAAAATGTGTTATTTTGAGCTCTGCAAAGGACACATAAATAATTGCTGAAAGGTTTGAGAAATATTTGCATATTTTACCTTTTTTTTTCTCTCTCATTTTAATTTTTTCACATATTTGCAAATGATTTATGATGTTTCATGTTTCAAAACCAAGGTTCAGTTCATAGTTTATATTTTAAATGCATTTCACTGAAATATGAACCACTGAATTATTACAAGGTTCACCTGAATTTCAGAGTAGATGTTTAGACTATATAACAGTATTGCCTTTTCTAATTACAACTATTCAAATTGCAATCCATTTTCTATTTATCTTTGAGACCTCTACTATACTCAAACGATGGCGCAATGTGTCAGAGATGTAGTGGTGCCAACGGCCTCCTCAGTTTACAGACCGCAGACAAATACTGACAGCACAGAGCCAGTTATTCCACCTGTTTTATAAGTTTACAACAGTCAAACAGGCCTCAGGGTTAATCAGTTACAGCGAAAAAAGAGAAAAATACAACCACGCCCATATTACTTCTAACTGTTCGTTTACACACATCTACACGCATATGATGGGTTTCCATGCACTTGGGGACATTGCATTAATTTATCTTCATGGAGACTGATCCGAACCTTAATCATAGTGACTATTCTCCTAATCTTAACTTAAGTCCTACCTCAACTTTACTTTAACTCTTATCTGAACTTCAAACCATGTTGTAGATGTAATAAAAAGATTTACTTTATGGGGACTGGATTTTTGTCGTCATAAGGGAGACAGGTGTTCATAAAATGAGAGTCTGCAGATTTCAGTCCTCAAAGTGTTACTAATACTGACACACAAAAAGTGATCCTACGCACTCTCAGCTGACTGACTCACACACCTTTTGGATGCGGTTAGCTCTGACTCAGAGAGGACAATGGAGCCTGCATGAACCAGCTTGTATCAGGTGCTGTTTTGCAGTGGATTTAAAAACAAACCAAAACTGGTATATTTGAGCTTAAGTTTGTAGGAAAACTCTGAACTTCCTCTTATTGGTCACACTTGACACTCAGTGAGCTGCTAGTAAAATATAAAATATGTAGTTATGTTATATCATTAAGTTAAAAAATACATATTACTATTGACAAGGCTTGGATTCAGTTTTTTCCTTCTCACTTATTTTTAAACTCTAAGCAAATCACAAAGTATACAATTTTCTTAAAGTGTATTGGATACATGCATACTTACTTTCCTCTTTTGTTTATTGACATGCTAGAAATAATAAATACATAAACTAATGAAAAGAAGTATCTCTTATTATAGCTTCTCTAATACCGCAGGAAGGCATAAGGAAAATGGTTTTTACTAGTAATCGAAGTCCATAGTAAAAATAACAGCCAAGTTCAAGATGTCTAAAAATAGTGATGTGCTTGAAGTAGTTGAGATAGTGCCACAGGGCTGCTCCAGTGTGTTGTTGTATTAGAGCATGTGCCAACCTCTGAACTCACACATAAAAACATACATGCAACCTACACATAAATTATCAGACCAACAAATTATGGGGATAGTTTAGGCAGTCTACAGACGGCTGTGTTCTGTATTTTTAAGTCTAAAACCTTTAAAAAATTAATATACATATACATATGAATATATGTTGACCAAAAGCTGTTGATTTCATGTCGATTTGGTTCCAAACAAAGTCAACAAATGAATTATCCTATCCTGAAACCATGATAAGATGTTTTCACCTGCCAGTGGTCATATACATTCAGTAGTGCACACTCACATAGCACATGTCAAATTTATTAACTTATGCCCTTATTACCTTCATCACTGACTATAGCTTTAATTGTGTCCAAAACCCTTTTCTTCAGTGTTGCCAATTTTTCCATCATCATGAAAACAATGCGGGGCAGTATCAGATTTACATGACGTAATCTTTTATAGTGCTTCTCTGTAATTTCTCACAAAGGCAGTATTTCCTGTATGGTGTGTGTAATAGATTATCCTTGAGCAGGTTTTGCTTGCTTTGCTGGTAACAGCATTGATCCCCTTTTCACAAACAACACAACTGGGTTAAACGCCACTGTTCATAACTACACACGCCCTTTTAAACAGACAGCTTTGTTATCAACACGGCCACTGTGTGAGGTGCCAAAGAAACAAAGATACAGCCAAGGACAGAACAAAGTAACACAGTCAGCTCCCTATAGGAAAGACGTACTTGGAAACTGCTGTCCTTTAAGCTTTATTGATGAGTTATGTCCTGATTTAAGATGTTATTAATGTTCATCAATGCATTTGACACCAGTTTGTTGTTTTGTGAGAGAAGAGGTCAGGCAGTCCATGGGAGGGTCTTTCCTGATAAATCAATTAGACAAAGGAACCAGGAAAGATGGAGGATATATGGCGTAGAAACCAAAACAGAAATACAACTCCAGTTCTTAAGAAGTTGTGACGGTGCTATGACAAATGAAAGCTATTTAATGATGAGCAATATATTCTGTAGCTCAACCCATTTTGACAAGGTGCCATTAAATATTATTTTAGTTTTCTCTGATGATTAAATGCATTAGTGTGCTCACCTACTTCTATTGTAAATAAATGTTTAGCTTTTCTTTACGAACTTCTGCATTTTTCCCTGTCTTTAAGAGGACCTAGTAACTTGCAAGATCTATTGAAAACACCAGACCTTCTTTCTTTTTATTTCTTTTAATTGAATCCATGTCTTTTTTTAATCTTCTTTTTTAATCTGGCAATTAATTTATCACTGAAGCTTCGAACAGAAATGTATATCTTAACATCAGTATCCACAGAACACAATGGGTCCATTCAGTGTGTATATATGTAAAGTTGTACTGTTAACCACTGAACAAACAGCTCTGCCTTGCCTATACTCCACATGTGTCAGTGAGCTTCACTCTATGTAAATAAAGACAATGGCTGTGTGACTTCTATTATTGTAGTCATACCTTTCTGTCTGCAGCATTCATGGCATCTGTCACACTGTGGAAAAAAAAAAAAACAAGTCTAAGTGCAGTGTGGAGCCGTAGTGGTCCCTCCCTTTCTGTCACTGCCATTGGGAAAAGACTGCACGACTTGGTGTTTTTTGACAACACACATGCTGTCCCTATACGTGCTGGAACTCGCCCTCCTGCGTCAAGTAACTACAAGGTGTGAGCAGGTAGTTTGATGTAAAAAGACAACATAGAAGCGCTAGAGTCTCCTGAGGAAATTTGGAGTCTGTCATTTTCAGTCGAAAAGTGTAGACTTTGTAGTGTGTTTCAAACAGAATACCTGTTTTGAGCAAGCCTAGAAAAGTCTCAGTATTTGAAGAAAAACACAATGTTGTGGAAGTGCGTACAAAGAATAGGAGCTTATCATTGTTGTTTATTCTGAGGAAAAAAGCCTTGATGAATTTTGAATGAGGCCTTGCTGTTCGGTTAGTCAACAAACTTGCCAAACAAGTAGGTAGGTCTGTATTTAGAGGGGATCCCAAAGGTTTAGCTCTACAGCTGTGAAGTGGTGTTGTGATTTTCATGCATGCCCAAACCTGAGCTGTCCCAGTATAGCGTGAACCCTGCTGTGTACAGAGGAAACAGGCGATATCAGGGAGGAGGACAGGAAGGAGCTGGAGAGGAAGAGAGAGTGGGGTGCACAAATTCACTTATATCAGTTTCCTGTAAATGAAGCACTGCAGTCTTAGACTACACTATTGTTCTGTTACAATGAGGCTGGATGAGACTTGTTTTGAAGGTAATAAAATGTGACTGGTGATTATTTAGTAATAATTGATTCAAATTTCTTTAATTAACCAACTAATATATTGTATAAATGTACCCTGATCTGATCAAAATGCTACTGGTAAATGCATGCAGAATATTTCTAAGAGTGATTAGGTTTCATGCATATTCAACAACCACAACACAAATAACCTGGCCTATACATATATGAATGGTAAGGACTGTTCAACATTTAGCAATGACAAACACATTTTGAATGAGAGGAGACCAACCTGACTGATATGAAATTGTGAATGGCTTTTGCTAGCTATACCATCTACTTATAAAATTAAAAATTAAACCTTGAGCTGTATTAAACCCAAAATATAATTAATTGCCTATCTATATTGTATTTTATATTGTTGCTTGTTAACCTGCCTGGGGACTGCAGATGGAAACTAGCTTTAGCTAAATGTTGTGTAAAGCATCGCTTCTTTTATGAGATCAATGTGTTTGCACATGGTCTGTTAAAATAAACCCATAAACTAAACTATTAGCATTTTACCATGATCATCTGTTATAAAGTTTTAAGACCGCTCGATCTAAATTTGATGACAGAAATGCTATCTTTTTATAATGTCTACGATGTCTTGATTGCTAATCTTCTGTCTTTCATTTCAGAGAAGTGGGCCACCATGAAGACTACATCCTCCCTCACCTCTCCCCTTTAGCTGAAAGATGGCTTCTTTACCTGCAGCAGCAGACACCAGTTGCCCTATAGCATTGCACTGGCGATTAACGCCAACATAACTCCTTCTGGATATATTTTTCTTTTATAACCAATGATGAAACGTGATGCCACAGCACATGTCCAGGGCAGTATTACAGTGTTTGGACCTTGGACTATGAACGGATTCTGAGTGTGTCCCATTGTGGAGGAGCTGGAGTGAAGGCTCTCTGGACTCTGAACATGTCTCTGCTCCCAGCTCTGATCACTGTCTGTGGATTATTGCTCCATCTGTCCTTGTGTTCACCCAACGCTCAGTACTGCATCCCACGAAAGACAGTCCCCTACAGCAGTAAGTCACAAGCACGTCTGTTGTATTACACCTTGTAATTTACAACTATTTCCTTTGTTCAAGTTGAGTGTGTTATGGCTCACCTCACTATGACCTTGGTACAAAGCAGATTCAGACACATTCAGGCACACTGAAACTTAAATTAAAAGCAACTTTGTGGAGAGTGCTGCTTGTTTTCATAGATACGTTATTGCTTTGCCTAGAATGTTCCACAGTTGGACATTAAACTAGTATATCTTGCATTTATTCAATTATAGATGTTTTTACTGATATACCCTGAAGACGGAGAAAAGTCCCACACACCGTCTCACTTGCAAACTGTGAGATTTAGTAGGACAATCTGTACAACACCTCGGCACTAGGCCCTCGTCAGGCAACTGATATACCTTGAAAAAACATGCATTCCTACTCGCCTTTCCACAGATCTGGCCTAGTGGCGTCACCTGCTTTGGAGTAAGTTATATTTTGGAACACTGTTGGAAAAGAAATAACATCTCAGTGGAAATAAGCAGGTGGTGCATCCTCCACCATAAAAGTTACATAGTGCACTTTTAAAATACTGACACCGAAATGATAAATTTGACATAATAGTACTTTGTTAGTTATTCATCTTACACTGATTTCCCATGTGGGTCACCAGTGACTTCAACCCATACATTTAAATTATTATTTTGACTGAAAAAATGACTCTCCCCTTCAGATGACCTCAAACTGTTCAAAGAGGATGGTGTTTTCAACTATTCCACGATGCTGATCCAGGAGGACTTGGGCGTGATTCTGCTGGGAGCCAGAGAGGCCATTTATGCACTGGACTTGAGTGACATCTCTGTCAAAAAGTCAGCGGTACGTGAAGACAGTAAAATATATGTCATAGGCAAAATAGACTAAATATTTTCATTTTCTCCACGGTAATTTGAATATGTTGCAAGATATCTTATGTCAGAGCTGGACAGTTACAAATGGATGAGTGTTGGTTGACATATTTATATTTTTAGGCCATTATTTACACTTTTACCTGTACAGTAGATATTTCAGATTACGTGACTTAAAAGTGTGTTTAATTAAGTGTGTTTTGTTTTTGTAACTTTGAATATTCAAAATGAAAATTTCCCCCCAAAATAATCAATAATACAAGTTGTACAAAACTTGAAATGTGTTACTGCCATTAAGTTAACCAGAAAGCAATTTTTTTAATCTTGTAGTTTTAAAGCTGTCTGCCTCATTAACCTTGTATTCCTTTTGTCACATACAGTGCTAACACGCTAGTGTATGTTGGCGTCACGCTGGTTGCGACACTGCCCCTGCGTGCTTTGACATGACTGTGCTGATGTTGTTGCAGGTGTATTGGCGAGTGACAGAAGAGAAGCAGAGGCAGTGCACTTACAAGGGAAAACAAGCTGAGGTTTGTTTTCAGAGTCCTAAGCCTATCACACGCTTTACTTTTACTTGGGGATAGGATAACTTAATGAGGCTCACTCTCCCATGTAATCAGATCTCCGCTGTTCAGGAGCCAAAGGTTAGAAGACGTTAAGATATATACATGTTCAGATCTGTCTAAAATAGGACAAAATATTGTAGTTGGCATTCAATTTCCAGTTTTAAATTTAATAAAGTTCAAAGTACAAAATTTTTATTGTGTTTGTACAAGTCTACTAGGCCGAAAAGTCCCATTTATTTGAAATTCTCATTAATTTGTTCATACGAAACCATATAATCAAAATGAAAATGACACTGATGAAAGGAGACCAGTCCTAACTCACATTTACATTTATAAAGGAATAGGCAGAGCCAAAAGAGTACTCAAATAATACAATTAATATTACATAGAAAAAATAAGTGGCCATCTCATGTACGTCTCATTTGAGGAAAATTATGAAAATCCTGTCATCAGATAATGTTAGAATTAATTTTGTTAGCCAGAATTGTTCAAGTACAAGAAAATAATATTTCAAAAAACTATCACAGGCTATGCGATTCATTTAAAAACTTAAGTGTACCTCTCCACCAGTCTGCTTCAATCCACACAGTTCTGCATCATTTATATCATGCTGTTTTTGATTCTCTTTGAAGTGCCTCACTCACAGCTCTGTATAAACCCAAATAAAGACATGAGAAGCTGCCCTCAAAACTGACCCTCAGAGCTCTGGTCCTCAGCCATACCAGGACATGTATCTGTATTTTTGTTTGAGTTTTCGTGGCTGAACTAACATAGCATTGACCTTGGCATACTTGGGGCTGGGTTTTGTTGCAGGTGGAATGTCGAAACTACATTCGTACACTTCACCGAATGAATGACACAACAATGTACGTGTGTGGTACCAATGCATTCAGCCCCATCTGTGATTTTATGGTGAGTAAAAAATAATACTAACAAAATGGTTTAATGGCTGTAAAATCTATATTTACTCTATAAGTTACACTCTACAATCAGCTTCATGATTTTAGAAAGGCATACATAGCCATTAGACTATAGAACAATGTATTTACTAGTCAAAAGTAACTGTGACAATAAATGAAATCACAAAGAAAACCAAAGCAAGGTTATATCATAAATTAAAGGTGCATTGTGTAACAAGCATGGGATCCTGCTTGTCCTCATGGAAATGTGTTTACTTTGCCTAGAGTGTTAAAGTGATATATCTTGCATTATTCAATTGCTGGCACTTTCATTCTCAAAGATATACCTTAAAAATCTGTTGCTTATTTAATGTTTCTTTGTACTTCATGTTAGTTTGATTGCATAAAGTATTAAACTGTGAAAGTTTCAAATACATTCCCATTATAAAATCTTTTTCTTGGGGAGAAGAAATGCTGACATCACATTAATTTTGCATAATGCTTCCCAACACAAAACCTGCACAGCCTCCTTACATTTGAAGTGATCTGGCTGAAACTCTGAGAACAGGCCTTGGCTTTGACTCAGTTAAAGTCCACATCTCCTGCCCGGCTCAGTTTTCTGTTTTTTAAAGCCTTTGTTTCCTGTGTTTCCGACAGTCGTTTGAGCGCGGACAGCTGAGGCTGCAGGGGATGCAGGAGGAGGGGAAGGGGAAGTGTCCTTTTGATCCCTTTCAGAGATACTCCTCCCTCATGGTCGGTGAGTGTCTGAGCCAGGTTTGTGCTGACACTGTAGTGAGCACTGTGTGAAGAAATCCGTGAAGACAACCGCCACATATCACTCAGTTGGACTTTTATAGCCCTCAGTTTCAAAGCTTAATCGAAAATAAATGTATTACATAAAAGCTTTCTCTGTTGTTCAGTGGCACTAAAAACTAATCACACACAAACTGTTTATAAGAAGCAAGCATATTCTTCTGATATTTCTCCAAGACAATATGAAAAATGCATTTCCAGGAATTTACCCTCATCCTTTGTTCCTTTTTAACAGGAAATGATCTGTATTCTGCCACATCCATCAATTTTTTGGGCTCGGAACCGGTGGTTTTACGCAGCTCAAACTTGGCTCTCCGCACTGAGTTCAAGAGCTCCTGGCTCAGTGGTGAGTGTGTTACAAGATGCACAAACTACAGTGCAGTTTTCTATTAGAACTGAGCAGAGTTTTACCTTGCATGTTTACCTGTCACCTACTGTCTCAGCGACTGGCAGGTGCAGTTCTGAAGGGACAAATCTTTGTGGTTAGAATTTTATGCCTGATTAGTGTAGTTGAACTAAAAGATAATTTAACTGTCTGGCTATATAGGCTCAAAGTCCTTTTAATATACTTCTCATATATTGATTTCTTGTCTTTTCAGAACCGAACTTTGTTTACATGGACTTTGTGGAGGAGAGTGTGGACAGTCCTGATGGAGATGATGATAAAGTGTATTTGTTCTTCAGTGAAAATGCCATGGAGTACGATTTCTACAGCAAAGTGACAGTGTCCCGAGTTGCCCGTGTCTGCAAAGTAACCCCAAGTTTAGACTGAAGTTTACCATAATGAGTACATACAAGATTAAGTAATGTTTAAATGGTCTTTTTAGGGTGATATGGGAGGCCAAAGAACGTTGCAAAGGAAGTGGACATCGTTTCTGAAAGCTCGCCTAGACTGTCCCCTCCCTGAACCCAGTCTGCCCCCTATAGTCCAGGATGTGTTTTTTCTCAAACACAAAGACTGGAGAGAGAGCCTTTTTTACACAGTCTTCACTCCACAGTCGTAAGTCAAAGAAAATGAAGATGAATTATACCTAAATGTCAAGCCAAAAGTAATCATGCAATTTTGTTTCCCCAGAGGCTTGTCGCAGGTGTCAGCTGTGTGTGCATACAAGGTTTCTGACATCAAACACATTTTCACTGAGGGAAAGTTCAAGACACCTGTTGCTGTGGAGACATCCCATGTGAAATGGGTGATGTACACTGGGGAGGTACCTGTCCCCAGGCCAGGAGGGGTGAGTCAATTACTGTTTACGCTATTGTGTATCAGAAAAAATATGCAAAGATGAAAAATTAGGACTGAACAAAGTATGGTTCCAAGTATTTGATATGCAATTGCTGTACTATTACTGTATAGATGTTGCATATTTCTACAAACTACAATATTGTGTGCGCTCCTAATTACTATAGTGTACTTGGGTCAGTGATGTTTTGCAGTTTTCAGATGCTCAAAAAATGACAATATAATGGCATGTAAAATGTGTAGTTTTTCTGGTATATGAAAGCGTATATTTTATCATTTCGTATATGCCCCTTTGATTAAAAATAAAAAATAAAAATTCTGAATTTAAAGCCAGAGACATCTAAAAATGTCATTCAGTGCAACTAACATTTAGTTAAAATTTAATTATTAATTAATTAATTAATTATTATTAAATTAACTTTATATTAATGAAAATAACTGACCCAGTTACACCACTCAATATATTAACTATATAAAAATGTCTGTGTGTTCAAGTGCATCAATAATGTGGCCCGTAAATTGGGCTTGAACCGCTCCCTGGACCTTCCTGATAAAACTCTTCAGTTCATTAGAGATCGCCCCTTAATGGACGATGCTGTCAGGCCCATCAGTGGAGAGCCTCTGCTGGTGAAGAGAGGAGCCCTGCTCAGTCGGATCGCTGTGGACCGAGTTCAGGCCCTGAATGGACAAACCTATGATGTCATGTTTATTGGCACTGGTGAGTATTACTCTTACAAATAATAATATGTCTATATAAACTAGAAAACAATGGTTCTGGTTTTACTGTAATATTCTAAATGGGCTAAATTTTGACAAGCTCCTCAGTTAAGTGTTATAGTTCCAATATATTGATGTCAGAGTGAGTCTATATATGTTACAGCAAGCTCATTCATTTACTGACAAAAGCACATTTTTTGCTGATGCATCTCTTACTTTTCTTCACAGAAAATGGTTTCATCCAGAAGGCAGTAAACTATGGTGGGGAGATGTTCATTATTGAAGAGCTTCAAGTCTTTGAAAACCATGATGCCATCAGCAGCCTGCGCATCTCATCCAGCTCCGTAAGGACTGCGTTTGGCATTTTCTTTAAAAGCAACTGATAATCAGCCTAAATACTATGACCTGAGACAGAAGAAGTTAATTAGAAGTAAGGGTGTGAGCAAGTATCACAAAGCCAAATTGTGATTGCTCTAGTATATATGTAGTTTGTAATTAGTATGTGGCTGCATTTCATTTAGATAACTCATTTTAATTTTGCTCTGGTCTTAGCCTTTTCACTTGTTTAGGTTTTAGTAAAGAGAGTCATGTAACTGTAGCTTTGAATGTCGGTATATGCCGGCTTTATATAGTTTTATAGTTTATATAGTTTCATTCCAGTTTAGTTTCATTCAGATTTTAATCATCATATATATTTTTAAACGTTTTTTTAGGGCCAGCTATATGCAGGCTCACAGTTTAGCGCTGTGCAGATGCCGCTCTGTAACTGCAGCCGATACGAGTCATGTGTGGACTGTATCCTGGCACGGGACCCTTACTGCGCCTGGGACTTCTCCACTGAGCAGTGCTTCTCTGTCAGCAGACCCTCCTCTGTATCAAACACTGTGATACAAAGTCTGAAGGAGGGCGATGTCTCTCAGTGCCCTAAGCTAGGTAAGTTATGAAGTATTGAGTTGCTTTTCTTCTTATCAGTACAGCATTCTTAAATAGAATAAAATATGTTTCCTAATTGAAAAATATTCATGTCATTGAACAATTTAACTAGATGTAGGAAATGTGTGTTTTTAGAACTTAAAATGTACACGTTCTATCATAATCAGAGGTTCAGATGCTTATATTAATTTGAGCTTTAGAACTACATTATGTCTCTCTGGCTTGCTTTAATTGGCAAAAGGTTGAAAAACAGGCCTAGTAGATACAGGATATAGTTGAGTATTGCACTATATGTTGCGTGGCATGGTGAAAGTTTTATAGTAATAAAGTACCCTGACATCTATACATTGTCTCTGGTAATATCTCAGCTCTTCTGATAAAAAAAAAAAAAAAAAAATCATACTCATACTATCTTTTATTTTTTTAGATCCTGTTGCAGTCACAGATGTTGCTCTAACACCAGGAAACAATGTACAACTGCCTTGTGAGCTTCATTCTAATTTGGCAGAAGTCAATTGGCAATTTAACAATCAACCTCTTCACTCCAATGGGAAACACTACATTTACAGCGGAGGCTTGCTCATTTTGGACACCTCCGAATCAGATACTGGTCTTTACATTTGTGACTCTATGGAGTTTATCAACGGCAGGACGTACAACCGGACAATGGCGGTTTATAATTTGCAAAAAAGCATAGACATTGGACAGGCTACTACTCCTGCTAATAAGAAGACTACTAATTTTGATCAATTTTTTAGTACTTCTACACCAGAATTTGGGATTGTTGAACCACTAACTCCTGGAAATCAAAAAGAAAAGGGAAAGATGACCAGCTTAGAGGTGGCCGTGACAGTGCTGTCTTTGCTATGTCTTTCCCTGATAGGTGTTATCTTGTATATTTGGGTGCGAGGACATTTGAAGTGCCTGAAAATTGCACAGGCGTCTACTCAAAACGAAGCGAAGAGGCAGCCTGTGGAGTACGTGCCCGTCCAAAACAGGGATTCAGAGGCAAAGCTGCTGGGGCCAGTGCCGGGAACACCATGCATTTCCAATAATAATCACTGCACCGTGGACTTCAAACAGAACGGGGTGCACCTGCATCACTTCCCTCGCCAACATTTCAAATCTGAACGGTCTGGGATACATTAATGATGAGTCAGAAATTTGACAGTCAAGGTAGTATATAATTCAGACCAAGGTTAGACGAATGTGCACTAATTACAGGGTACCTCCACAGTTTTCTAGTTGAAATCTAAAACTTATTCAGACCTTCAGTGTATGCATGATGACCAGTTTAGAATTAGACAAACATTACTGATCCACAAGGGAATTTATTTGGACTGAAAAGCTCACATATCACAATGGCAAATTCAGATGAAGAAGAACGAAGTAACTTTACAGCATTTTTAATAGTTAATAGTTAGTTTAAAAGTTAATATCTGGATGGCTGGAGTGGCTTGAGCATAAAATTCGTAACTTGTCAAGCGCTGACTATGTAAAACTCTTTTTCTGTGGTACCATCAAATTAAATCTCTTCTTTATAATTTTAGAGCGGCAGGTTACTCTACTTACAAAACTGACATTAATTATCAATCCAGTTTGCAGTGCAAGGACCCTACATATAAACATTCAAATATGCTCTCAGTCTTAGCAGCTGGGGCTCAATTTACTGATAACTGATTTTATAAGCATATTATGTATACATTTCTTGTATATAGTATGTACAGTTTAATACATTTTTAACTATTTATTTTTGCAATGAAGTTTTTTAACAAAGGCCTCATTAGTAACACTTTGACCTCTGTGCATTTCATTTTGTGCATTTCACAGTTTATGTTAATGATTTGCAGAGAACCTACGGGGACGTAAGCTATGTAATGGTGCACTCAGAAAACCCTGAAAAACCCTGAATATGGGAAGGTTATGATCATTGGAAAAAAACAACAGCTCTTATTTACAAACCAATGAAACAGCATTATCTGGGAGGAGTTGTTTATGGGTGTGGCATTGGTAAATTCAGAAATCAAGTTTTAATTTTAAGTAAGTTTACCCACATTACGGAATTTACCAGCCCTCATGATATGGATAATAGAAATTTGAGATGTCATCTGGAACCCAGCAATATCAAGTATAAATTCTATATGCACTTTCTGGTAGCCAGCACTAAAGACTGTATATTAAATTTTTTATTTTTTTTATTAAAATGGGGTCAAATTAAACCAGTTTAATGAGCATTAGGGCTGCAACAGTTGACTTATTAGGACTAGTAGAGTGGTATTATTAAATCAAAATTTAAAAGGGAATTTTCGTCAGTAATATACTTCATTCGTAAATATTCTCCATTAACAAGCCTTCAGTCACCACAATACAGTCGATGTATTTAGAAAGTCTCAGTATACATTAGAAATAAAGCTACTAAAATAAGCATTAGTTGCAGCCCCAATGAACATATTTAGTTCAAGAATGTTTTATCAACATGACAAACTTCTACTGTAAAAAATGCCATGAGTACGTCTCAATTACTACTGTTGTAGGAATATCTTTAGATTTTATTTTTGTACATTTTTCAATTTGTAAAAAAATACAATAAACAACAATCATGAAATAAATTCAGAATATTTATTGAAATGTTGACTTAATGTAACATTGTTATTTTCACAAAGGTGTATTAAATCCAGGCAGTTTGCCAAAATGGCATTCAGCAATGGTTTTAGTGCAGGCACATTTCTAGAAACTTTCACATTTTTATTGGCATAGTGGTTAACTCTTACGAAAAAAGAAATGTTGTCTTGTTATTCCAAGAACAAGAAATGTTACTTCAAGAATCAAATTTAGTCATGGGGTCTTTATCAATGAGTGGATTCGTTATCCTTCAAAAATTCAGTTGTTTGTGTGTCTAGTGTTGACAGAAGGCTGGGAATTGAATTGTTCAGCCCCACGCCCACAGACGCATGCAGCTCAGTGTGGAAAGAGGCTGCAGCCCTGATAAAAGTGTTCACTACAAGGCCCCCACTAAACAAACAGTGCCACAACAAACCACACAAGCACAGGCATGAAAAATACTGAGGCAGGGGTTACTCCCCACTCACCTACAGCAGGCAGGGAAAACAAATGTTATGGCACCAAAATGCATGAGCACTTAAATGCTCCATTGAAGCATGTAGTTAGCTTTTTTGTTGAATTTAGCTAAAGTCAAACAATATTTATCTCATGCAAAAGTTGCAATATTAAGGCCTTTAAGCAAAGCTATATTAAGTGTGGTATCAAAAATAAACTGTCTTGGCAAAGTACACATAAAAACAAGATCATTGTCGTGCAGTTTTAAGTCAAACCCTGTACTTGTACTACAGTGTCCAGCATGCAGGTCTGCCAGATTATTATTTTCTATTATAAAATGTTCATAAGGCACAAGCCCCCCAAAACTCCCTTAACTCAAACCATTCTGTTAGATGTCTTCCTTTTAAATATTTTCGTAAGTACATTATTGTCAATGTAGTCACTCCAATTCACAACACAAACTTTTATGTAAACAAATAAGATATGGAATGGCATATATCTGGTAACCTTTTCAGAAATTCATTTGGCATTTTACGCTCATTAAATGCTGTTTGGCACACCCCGACAGTCTGTCTCCCTCTAGAGGATACCCAGGGCTATCACCACTGGCTGTTATCAGGGTAGCTGGGCACAGCAGCAGGGTACTGGGGCAGAGTGGGGCCCTGTGCTGTTTGGGCCACAACATTAAAGCCAGCTTCTCTCACTGGGGCACTCTTCCACATCCCTGTGGCCCACTCCTCCTGGGCACGCTGCATGCTCCCACCCCCGCCACGGTACAGCCTGTGAACCTGACCATTCAGAGGAAATAAGTAATCAGTTTAAATGAATACATGGGCCTGCTGAAGGGCATGTGCTATAGGCTCAGGATATGTGACACTATAATGGAAGATGGACTTTATGAAACTTTTCTGATGGAGGGTATGTTCCACATAATGGCATAAAACCTCTCTATTGTCATGGATACAATAATGTCAGATAGGCTCATAGTAAAAATCCTTTCCTAAAAAGTTTATTTTTTTCCGTCAATATAAACACCTGCAACTGAATAAATGCATGATAATTATGCTTAATATCAAACAAAGGACCATTCCAGGAGAAGCAATAAAGTATGGCCAGTAAACAAACATGTGATGGAGCCTCCACTAGAAAAGATCCATACTGCACCTTCATATTTTAGGGAATATTATCAACAGTGAATAGTATTTTTTAATTTCATAAAAGCCACATCAGCAAGACAATAAGATGTTAAAATTATAGTATTGTTGCAGAGTCACTAGAATAGCCTGTAGCATATTTGTGCACGAGTTGCTCACTCACCTTGATAAGCACGAGTGCCATTAAAGCAGTCACCAGTGTGAAGAGCAGTGTGGTGATGAGCATCACAATAGCAGAGCCCACATTGGAGCTGAAAAACATCACTGTTGCAATCCAGCCGCTTTATTTCAGGTGGAATCAGATGAAATGAAGTGAACAGGTTAGTTAAAGTGAAACACAGCACCAAAACCAAGGTTATAATACGCAGCAGCAGCTACAACAGCAGAATGCAGTTAAGTGCATAAAAGACAAACAACTGTAAAAGAGCATGACAGTGCTCAGTTAATGTTCTTAATAAACAGCATTCCCATGTGAATGAATGCAAGCAAAGCCTAGCCCAGTTGTGGGCCATCATTACGTGAAGTTCAAATTCAGATGAATTATTTACATTAGCTTTGCACAAGTGGATGCAAATTAAAGGATTATTCACATTAAAAAACAAAAGGTAATATACAGTGACATAGTAACTGTCAGATTTGTCTATTGCAATTGGGTACATGTCCTAAAACTCACCATGTTCCCCAGCCTGAGATACCTAATGTCTGAATAAGAGCCAACACACACTGAAGGAAGAAGATGAAAAAGAAGGCCATGAAGTTGAAAGAGCTATCGGCCCTGAAAATAAAACAAGAAAGCATTTGTCTTTGAAGATACATATAGATGTTTTCTGTGTTTTGTTTAGCAAGCATAAAAGGAACCTGTATTTTGTAAACATTACATGGCATTTGTGTTGTACATACTAACCTGAAGGCTTTGTACAGTGGTCTGAACCAACAAGTATAACTGCACGGGCTGAAAAGAAGGAGCCAAAGTAAAGAGAAGCCAAAGTTCGTGGCACTTCCACCACCAGCCCACCAAGCAATACAAGAAATGACATTGATGCAAAGAGTGGCTGAATACACTGCAAAGGAAACAATATATTAGTATACATGTTTGTGCTTTAGAAACTGTATCAAAAATTAAAACAATAAAAGCATACAGTGTACAACATACTCATCCAAAGTGTGTAGACTCTGCGCACAAGTTGCTGATGAGGTGAAGGAATTTCCTCATCAATATTCTGGTAAAAGCACGGCTTAATTTTCATGAATTTAGGCAGGGGAGGAAAGTTATTCACGCGCTCTAGGACAAAAGAGGAAATAGTTCAATCATTTCAACTTACACTGTGCTCAGTGTTTGTGATAATGAATTTATCATTAAAAACGGTTAAATAACAAACCTCCCATTTTTTTTAATTAAATGAAGTTATCTGAAACATAAAAGAGAGGAAAACTCACAATTAGACTAACACAAGAACAGTGAAACAAAGTTGGTACTGGTGATTTTGAATCTTCTGTTGAACTGAACTTAATAAACTCGCACTTATAGGTTATAGTTCACCTTGCGTTAACTGGCATAAACTTTATCATGATAAAAGCAATGACTGTAAAACTTAGGTTTTTAAAGGGGGCATAAAGAGTATATTTTTATTTCAACTAATCTAACTAAAGCTACCGCTTAATACACACTGATTAAGTAATGTAGCGGATGCAATGACATAAGCAGATGTATAATGTTTTTAGTTTTAGCATTTAGTAGCAGCTAGGGCCGAGTTCTTAAACGTCGCGTAGATAAATATATACATTTGTTTTTTATTTGCAAATTTACATGGAACAAGGTTTTAGCGGAGTTTTCGGTTCATTCAAAGCGTATAAAACCACAAAAGTCCAGTTAGAACATGAAGCGTTACCGTTTCTTCACGTTTCCGGCAAAATCCAATGCCAAATCTGCACTTCTGCAGGGGTCCGGGAATCCTGCAGGATGCGCGTTTGTCATAGCAAGCAGTGCGCATGTGCAGAGTAGGAGCGGTTGTAGTTTTTGAAAGTATTGTTCCGTTCATCGTTATGGAGATATAAACTGAGCGAACTACATTTCCCAGAATGTAACGCGCGTTAAACGGGAAACGCGTGACAACAACATGACACACAATATATTAATTACACACCCTTCTAATCTAAAATGTTTCATTCATATTAACCGAAATTAGCATGAACAAATAATGGTACGACAAAGTTAGGTTAGGCGGGGAAATATCAGCTGATTTCATGGTCAACTCAGTCTTTGATTCTTTAAAGATGCAACGACTTCCAAAACAAAAATACTTAAAAGAATCCCTAGCACGTTGTATGTACAGCAACTTTTATTTACTTCTTTATCCTCAACAAGTTATAACAACTTTTCAATCTTAATGGGACTTGTTGTGACGAGATTGGACGTTTGTTTTGTTTTTTTCTTAAGTACGAAATGCGCGAAGAATTGTGAGGCACTGCAGGCTCGCAATGTGATTAATCGCTTCATAATAAGAGAAATATGCATAGCATAATAATTGTTCACATGTAGAGGAATAATCTCAGCATTCTTTTAATTATCACATTTTCTTAATTGTCACTCGCTGTCACAGCATGTCAAAGCCAACCCAGTCTATGAGCCAACTATGTACCTTAGCCATATACAGTTATAACATAGATCCATGAGTTATATACACAGTGAAGAGCAGCCCCACAGCACTGAGCAGGGGCAGATATCAAACGCACCCTGTACTCTGTGTTAGATTTTGGACCAATGAGCGGCGGACCCTGATGGAAGTGACACACTCCCGCCAATTCCGAGTGCGGAGCGCGGAGCTGCACTGGGGCTGAACGCGGGGAGACCGTGGAGTACACCAAACAAAAATGTGCAATATTTAGTGTCTAACAAATCAAGAATAAGGGATTTTTATCGACAGCACAGACCCACGGTGCTTTGTTGTGTCCAGCTCTGCAGCTGACACGGCCTGTTGGTGGAATAAAAGTGAGTTTTGTACAGAGGGTTCCCGGTAGAGGCTCAACGATGTTAGCGGCAGAAAACCCAGCTGTGGACGGCGGACATTTAGCCTCAACCCCCCGGAGAAAAGGTACCATTTAGCCATTTTGGAAACTATTTTTAGCTCTAAATCCTACTAATGTCAGCTGTTTCTTTATAACACCGCACATACTGCCTTACAAGATATATCATTACATTAAAACCTTCGCGGATTTAAAAAAACAAAACTGCAAAGAAGCTTTATGCTTGCTCTTTCTAGTTGGATTGTGATCTTAGGCCCAATAATGGTGTCTGCAACTGGAGCTTTATTATAAGTTTACAACCAGCTAGATTTTAGTTAGGCAGTTTCTGAACTATTTCAATGCTAATGTCTCATCATTTCTTTCTCTTTGACATTTGAGTCAAGTGAAGAATTATGGTTTAGTTAGTTGTTAGCACAATAAAGCACCGCGGCTCAACATTGACGTGTTTTCTTGGGCTAATCTAAATGCTAATCATACAACCAAATGGAAAAACTCATGTACTTTTTCTCAGCGTCCATATGTAATTAAAAAACACTCAAGTCTGAACTGTCGTTCATTTCCTTGTTTTCAATAATTAGTTAAAGTTGTAACTTTTGAGGAATACTACATACACATCGTTGGTTCAGCTCTGTTTGAGGGCAGCCTAGCAGAGCCTGTCTGCGGGCGACAGGGCCCGCTGTGGGGACCACTACACTAACTCTGGTTGGCGGGAGAGAGCTAACCAAACACTGCACACTGCAGCCGTGATGATAGTGAGCTAACGTGCTAGCACAGGTCATTGTAGTCCTCATGTCATTCTGCGCCTATGGAAAGTCTCATAGGCCTTCTTACTCGAGATGGACTCTGTGAGGTGCACATTCAGCTATTATAATCTGAAAAGTAAACAAATGAGTTATCGTGAAACTGTTGAAGTAATAGCTTTAGATGAGTAATCATAACTGGTGCATTTAACAAAAGTGTATCTTTTCCTGTTGAAAATTATGGTCTCAATGAGTAACCCATCGTGTTTTTGTCTCTAGGAATGGATTGCAAACCAAGTAACAATGCAAATAAAAAACTTGTTCAAGGTAAGCATTTAAACTTGAATCTTATCAAATTTTATTATGATTTGTGTAAGACATATTTTGTGAATTTGCATAATCAATCACTATGGATTTGCCCTTGTTTGCTTTTAAGATAATGTCTGTTTTTATTTTGTTTTCTAAATTCTTTACCTCTAATTATTGTGTTTGCAGCACGTCTACCATTCAAGCGCCTGAACCCTGAGCCAAAAGAGAACCACCCACCCAAACGTCCTTGTGCCCATGCTTGTCCAGATCCGGAGTTATCTGAAAGGGAGAATGAGAATGAGTCCTCTCCTCTTCCTCTGTGCACTGGACCACCACTGGTCAATGGCCGTGGTCCATTGGATGGTTTTCTCACTTGCAAACGTTCAGTGCCTGCTGATGAAAATATGGTCATAGATCTAACTGAAGAGAAAGAGTCTCCTATAAAATGTCGACTTCTTCCATTAAATGACAAGAAACAGAAACAAGATAGAAGAGTATCCTCTGGAAAATTAAACAGAAGCATTAACTCTTCTTCCGTCACTGACTCTCCCAAAAAACAAACTGTGGACGAGGATGTTATGGCTCAAGATGAGAAACTAGATCAGAGTGCCTCCACATCATTTCTTGACACAACAAAAGAATCTGTGAGTGAGGAAGAATCCCAGAATGAATCTCAAGATGCTTCTAGTTTGGTAAACCAGTCTCTGCTCTCCAATTCCCTGGACAGCTCCATATCTGAGAGCTCCCCAGAGAAGCCCAGTAATGAGAATGTCACTCCCACTTCCACTCACACAGTAAGAATTTAACCATACTTTTCATGTAAAAACGGCCTACTTCTTTTAACCTGTCTATATTTTCATCTTGTCATTTCCAGGAGCCAAAGACCACACCCAAGATTCCTGCAGAGAAAAAGTTAAAAAGGCGCTCCCTGAAGGTAAATGTTTTACACTATAAACACATACCATTTATTTGCCCAGCATTAAAAAAGAGGCCTTGTGTCACTTTTTTCTAAAGCAATGTTGTTTTATTTCCTAATTAAGAATGTGCAAGAGCAGGAAGAGAAGCTCCGTCTACGTCAGGAAAAAGACAGGCTAAAAGAAGAGGCTAAAGCAGCAAAAGAGAAAAAGAAAGAAGATGCTCGTAAACAAAAAGAGGAGCGTGATAAAGAGAAACGTGAAAAGAAGGAGCGAGAGGAGCGTGAACGGAAAGAGAAAAAAGAGAAGGAGGAGAAAGAGAAGGCTGAGAGGTTAAAGGCCAAAGAGGAGCAGCGGAAGTCAAAGCTTGAGTAAGTGTTCACTGTCCCTTTTTCTACGCAAAAGATTAGCGGACATTTAGGGTTAAACTTTGCTATTATGTTTTAGGGCTAAGCTTGAAGAGAAACGTAAGAAGGATGAAGAAAAACGCATTAAGGAAGAAGAAAAACGGTTAAAAGAAGAGAAAGATGTGAGTTTAATATCTTGTTTTCAAATAATAATGAAAAGGTGATGATTATAAACAGCCTGACCTGTGATTGCAGCGCCTCAAAGCTGAAAAAGCAGAAATCACACGGTTTCTACAGAAGCCTAAGACCCAACAGGCACCAAAGGTTGGTCTTCTGTCTTTAAATGTGATACAGGTTATGACAGATGAGTTGATCATTTTATTTTGCTTTTAGACTCTTTCTGCTGCTTGTGGAAAGTTTGCTCCATTTGAAATTAAAGAGAACATGTTTTTGGCCCCACTGACCCGGGTTCAGTGTGAAGATTTGGTTCTGGAGAAACTGGATGAATATTTATTGAAGCCTTCTCAAAACGGTAATGGACTCAAAGACTGGATTGAGCAAAAGCCACGGTGCTCAGGCCCCACCAAAACCAGGAGAACAAATTCACTTAGGTTAGTCTGTTTTCTTACCCATAAGAGCTGTGTTTGGATTATTTTGAATAAAAACACATTTTCAGTCTTTTTTTTTTTTTTTTTTTTTTTTTCCTCCTCAGCGAGTGTACAGCAGCAGAAAATCCTAAAACTGAAGGTGTCCCAGACCGTTCTCGTCATGGACCAATGAAACTGCTACAGTTCCATGAAAACTACCGTCCAGCTTATTGGGGCACCTGGAGCAAGAAGAGCTCACACATTTCAGCTCGCTGCCCTTTGAGACAAGACAAGGTAAAGCATTTTATTCTGTTCTATAGGAATGTGAGATTAGCATCCTAGCCTTATGCATATACAGTGTAGTTAAGTATCATTTTGCTTGATAGGATCTGTTGGACTATGAAGTGGACAGTGATGAAGAGTGGGAGGAGGAAGAACCAGGAGAGTCTCTGTCACACAGTGAAGGCGTGAGTAATCTAAACTGTACATATGTTGTCTGTGATGTGGGCCACTGTCTGACATGGATTTGTGTGCAACGTGTGTCCCCATCCATTTGTGGATGAGGACACGTGTTGCTGTTTTATGAAACTAAAACATAATTATCCTCCCACAGGAAGATGAGGAAGAAGGAGGTGAAGAGGATGATGACGACGATGATGGTTTCTTTGTGCCTCACGGATACCTCTCTGATGATGAAGGGGCTCTGGAAGAAGAGGTAATGTACTCAGTACTGTGATACAGGGCATTTAGTCTCTTTGCAGACGTTAACATGCGTTTTCATAGGATGGTGGTGATTTGGAGAAACAGAAACTTCAACAGAAACTTAAAGCAAAGGAATGGGATGAGTTGATGTCCACCAAAAAGAAGATGAAGTTCCTGGAGCCTGTGGTGAAGGGCTGTGTATGGGAGGGGGAGGGGCTTGGCTCAGAGATGTTCCAGATCTACGCTCTGTGTCTGATCGAGCCTTTGGCCAAAACAGACAACAGCCCCAGCCCAGAGGAGCAGAGTCTGAAAAAGCAGCAAGAGACTGAGTGTGAGTGTTCTTACTAAACTTTATATGATGTATTTATATGACTAAATGCACTTTCTTTGTCTATGTATACCCTGACTTATAACTATTTCTGCAGTACTTGGACAGATGCTTCCACTGCTCCACGGAAACTCAAACAGCAGCAAAATGATCATTACTGAGTTCCAGGAGTTTTGTCGACAGCAGTCATCACCATCTTCTCCTCCTCAACTGTCCAGTCCTCAAAACGCTACAGATAATATTCCATCCAGGTAGAGAAATTATGCTTTTACCAGATCTTCCCTGATTTTAGTAGATTCCTTAATTGAATAATTTTTCTTCAGGATAAAGCTAAGGCGGCTCATCAAAAATAATGCCGTATATGAGAAGCGCTCGACCTATAAGAGGTGTTGCTGGTATGTCCACAAAGAGGTTCTGTCTCAGTTTGGTCAGGAGGCGCTCCCTGTGCCCTGTCAGTGGACATACCTCACCACGGGACTCAGAGAGGAGCCCCGTGAAGAGTCACAGGCTGCAACAGGGTCTGTGGGCAACTCTCCCACCACTCCACAGACCTCCTCCAGCTCTGCTGCCCACAAGAGGAGGAGCACAGGCAGCATGTCCATCACCAAGTTCATGAAGAGGTGTAAGGAGACAGAAACGGTACAGTGCTTTAGTTTATTTTTAATTATTATTTTTAATTATTATTTTCAACTTACAAGAGATTTCAAATTGATTGTCCTTTTGGTTGCAGCACCTCCATTTATATTTGTAGCAAGGAGTGATACAGGAAAATAACTTATGTATTGTTTGTAAAAAAAAAAAAAAAAAAAAAAAACTGCATTAAAGGTTATCTTTTTCTACTTTTTTGTTAACCTGAAGAAGGAAGAGTTGGAGAATAAACATTTTAGTTATTACCTGGAATTTCAGGACTTGAATCTGTTTCTTAACATGTGGTTTGATTTTCCAGTCTGAGGCCACAGAGGCAGATGGGTTTCAGGCAGATACAGAAGAGGATGACGATGATGACTGTATCATTGTCTCAACAACTAAAGATGGTAAGTTCTTAGGATTTTCAAGTGTTCAGTGTCAACTGCTATACATAAAGAGAAAATCTATTGCCCCAGACCTTTATATACCTTTATATATATATATATATATATATATATATATATGATATGATATGTGTGTATACATATACATATATACACACACACACACACACACATACACACACACACACACACACACACACACACACACACACACACACACACACACACACACACACACACACACACACACACACACACACACACACACACACACACACACACACACACACACACACACACACACACACACACACACACACACACACACACACACACACACACACACACACACACACACACACACACACACACACACACACACACACACACACACACACACACACACACACACACACACACACACACACACACACACACACACACACACACACACACACACACACACTAATGATCAATCAACTGTCCAGGCTTAACCAGAGAGAATTCTGAGGACCAACCGATGGATGTCACTCCCTCTGACCCAGTGTCCAGCGCTTCAACCCTCGCCTCTGTCTGACCACAGCACTGTTCAAACACATGGGGACCTCACTGCTGCTCGGGGCCAGACATCACCTGTCTCAGTCTTGGTGTTTTTGATGAGTCTGAACTCCTCAAATGATCAGCACAAATGACTCTTCAACAAGGGACCCACGGGTGACACTGGCATCTTGAATCTCTTTATCCAGTCAAACTGACCGGGTCAAGGTATTTTGTTTTTGTGCATAAAATCAGTGTGACTATTAAACTAAGGTATGTTTGCATGTTGAAGTTTGGCATTGCCTTATTCTAGAGGCTATAACTGATCTGATGAAAGTGCTGCTCAGATATGCTAGATTAAAACAAGGCAGACTCATTACATAAAGAACAGGATTATCTGTTAAATGCTAGATGTGGCATTATGAGGTTACCTTGATTATAATTTCTTACGGCATACAGTTAATCAGAGGGGATGTGAGACTCGGTTGATCAGTACCTTAGTTGTTTTAATAGGTGCATTTATACGACTTGTTCTACTTGTAATTCTCTTGAGTCGTTACTCAATCTGAGCGTGTACAGATATCCTGTGTCACATTTTATAAATATGTATTTTCTTTGTTTTTCAAGAATACTTGAACAAGAAATTCATTAAACATTAAACTGCACTTTTATAAGAAAACACATTCAGTGGTTGTCAGCAAGCAACTTTGTTGTCATGTTTATTGACTTAATGTTAACGGTCTTGGTTACAGGCAGAATAAAAGGAAATGCACAAAACAGCATCTTAAACAGTCACATGGTGCAAGCCTCACAAAAGTCCAAACGACTGGACAAGGCTCTGTCCAAATTAACATCTCACAGGTGTTTAACATTAACTGTATTCCTCTTTAACTGCCTGTTAAGGTTTACATGCAATGGATGCATTTAAACATTAGAGGTAGATGTTAACCAAATTAAAACCAAATTAACCTTTTGATCTTATGCATATTAATGTGGAATTTGTAGATTATTGAAATCAATTAAATACTTAATATGAACAAACATGAATTACGCAATACGGTTGCAACAATAAACGATGATGAAATGAACATTGAAGCATTTAATATTTTCCTGACTTGTTAACGTGCTGTGAGGTTTGAAATTCACACAGCCAAGTTCAGTAGTGCAAAGTTAACAGCTTAAGTGAAGCAGGACACAGCAGTCCAGAGTTGTGCAGCTGAGCCAGATTCACATCAGAAGGTCAATGACAGGAAACAGTTTATCAAATGGACACTGGATAACCCTGTCATTGATACACCCATCTTGCCTTCAGCATGACTCATTAATCTTACTGAACTTTACCCATCCATAAACCTTCTATCATGTGTTAAACTGTCATGTATCCAAACCACAAACATGGACTTCACTTAACACAACTATACTTGTCTTTCATCTTTTAAAGCACACTCTAGATGTTAAAGTATGTACAGTAGAATTCTGCCCACAGAATGGGACAGGGCTGGACTCAAAAATATTGTAATTGCATCAGCGATGCCCCTGGTGTTTGACTGCCTGCTACTGTCTTCAGTTGTAAAGTACATGTCACAAGTCATTAGGTAATTCTAAAGTATGAAAGCAGTGTTGACTCAGCTCAGGGTCTGAATTTTTTCAAGAAGCTCTGGTTTCAGCAGAGCAGGACTTTTTCCTCCTGCGGCTGCGATATCGGCCTGCACAGCTGCGTCCCAGGCAAAGGTGAGCAAGGCAGCGGGCACCTGCCAAAGGAAAGTGTTAGAAGTTAGTATGTATGGATCGCAACAAAAAGATAGCATTGTGACAATTTGCTTATTTAAAATCATAATCAAATGTATAACTACATCAAGTCTTATGTGCACCTCTACACTGCATTCTGACACCTTTTTACAGTAACTAACTCTTGTGAACACTAACCAGGCCTCACTCAGCATCCATCAGGACACAACACATCAGCTTTGAGGACATGAGAATATGATCCATACCACAAACAGTAGCCCATATTAATTAATTTATGTTATAGTTGGCTAATGCTGATTGCAGATGGAAGAATGTGCAATGAACTTACCAAATTGCACTCTGCAAGAGCCACATCCTCTGACTCCTGTAGTTTTTGGCCTCCAGGAGCGATCAGTTCAAATGGCTGCCAGCCATCCACCAGAGACTCTCTCACAAAACTGTACAATGTAGTGAGACGGTCCCAGGCATAAAAGGTCCCTGACATTCAACAGTAATATATTTATGTAAACATGAACATAATTCACAATTTATGCAATGCATAACATGATACCTTGTAGCAGGTTTCCATCAGGCAACCTGATTCTCAGCAAAGTGTAGTTGTATTTTCGTCTCTCTCTCTGTTCATCTTTCTCTCTCATTACCTTAGTCCGCAACATTGAATTCTTTTCGACTAAATCACTCCTGAAACATGCATTCAGTGTGTTTTTAGTCTACTTTAAACTTTATGGACCCAAGAAAAAAAACATTAAAACCCAATGATATGGGTTAAATTGTTGCTTGATTCGATACAATGGGAACATTCCTCACCGCTGCTGCTGCTCCTTCTTGAGCTCCTCGGCTGAGAGGTTATAGAACTCTGGAGGAAGCTCAAAGCGCTGAGCGTTGGGCGACGGTCTGAGGGCCTGAGGTTGCCTGTCCAGCACAGCTCTGACCGGCTCTCCTCTCTGCAGGCGGTCCCTCCTCTCTTTCATTAGCTCCAGATCATCAGAGCTCTGCTCTGGCAGCACCAAGAACTCCTCTTCCTCTGGATGAGAAAATTGTTTTTAATAACAGCAAGGTAAAAGAAACTGGTATCTTTAGATGAGTAGCAGTGAGTGAGATGAGTGCAGTTACCTTGACCTTCTACAGGAAGTGAAGTGCTTATAAAACCGAGTGCCTCAAGAAACTCTCTGCTGCCCTCAACACATCGCACTTTCTCCTGAGGGAAAAAGAGCATATTTTTGTGTATATAATACAAAAATAAAAGTCATAAAAATCAGTTGAACTAACTCAATACAAACCTGAAAAACCTTGTTGGAGAGTTTAATTTTTCTGTATTTTTCTTCTGATGGATTTTTACAAATGTTGTCAACATACCTGTAAATAAATTAAACATTGTGTAGTTATACAGGTGATGATACTGACTGCAAGGTCATTTAACTAAGTCTTACTTGCTTATGATGTCAACAGCAGCTTTCACTTTATCTCTGTCTTTGTTGAACGTGTGCATCATCATAACAGAGGCCTCCACTGCATCTTCCTCAAAACGCTTTAAACAAAAAGATGGTGTCAGTATTAAGCTAAAATATTCTGTCTGTATGATTTGAATTTTAATTTATATACCATAAAAATTGCTTCTTTTATGTGGACCTCCCTTTCACTCTTGGTTAAAGTGGCTCCTGTCAAAGGGCAAGTGAAATACACACCAGACACTGACAAACTGGAAGGGTCTTTTACTTGAGAGCCCTAGAGGAAAAAATATGAATGTTAAGTAATACACACTAATTCTGTTTATGCCATTTTTAAAACACCATACCTCCGCAGTATCCGGCTTTTCTTTTTCAGCCAGTGCCGCTGCCTCAGCCTCCAATTCTCTTTTTACTAAAAAGGTATGTAACAGTACAATTGGTACACACAACAACCAGCCATAAAGAAGGCAATGTAGGGACAGATTGGTTTCTCTGACCCACCTTGGTTCCTAATGGTATCGTGAGAAGTGTGCACTTTGGGCTTGTGCTGCTGCTCTATACGTGCCAGAGCAGCTGCCCCTGCTCTCTGGGCTCCTTCACTAGGTGCATGATAAGGTCTGGCGGTGCTGCTGTGGACAGGCTCAGGTCTGGCACTGGTATGAAGGAAATTCAAAGAAGGTATTTATTCAATGTGTGTGTAATATGATTCTGCATAGTACTTATTTATAAATAAATTATATAATTATTTAGTGGTTCATAATAGTATGTGTTTATTTTTGCCATAATCTTGTTTGATTTGGTTCAATACTGTTAATATATAGTATTTATATTGTTATTGTTGTTTTCTCCTTTGCCCACATCGAGAAGGCTTGTGGATGCTATGTGATTGTGCCTATGGGATCCTTGCTGCAGTAGTTTAGACGTTTGTATAGACGTTTGTCAAAAAATCTCCAGCGCTAGTCAGTGCACGAATGCACTGTCTGCATCTGCTGGAGTCACAGCGCTAATAAGATTTTACAAAGATTAACTCAAGCACGTCTACTACAGTGGACACCTCCCTGTCCCTCCTCTCCCCCTCTCTCCACAAAGAGTTACATAATACGCTGATAGATGGTCTAAACGGGCTAATCCACAAAAAAAGGTCAACCATTTTACCTGAATCGTAAACATGCGTATTTGTTATAAAATATAATGTTATTTATATTTTAGTAAGTTCACTTGAGTGGAGTTAGCCCCTGTATGGCTGGTTCTAGCTGCATTAGCTACAACCAAAGAAATAGAGCTTCAAAGTACCTGGTATCCTCTGTCAGCTTTTTACCAGGCCCGGCTGACTTGAACTTTATGTCCTTTTTAATGTCTTCAAAAAATTTCTTCATCGTCCTGTGACTTCAGTGAGGATATAAACAGCTCTTAGAGAAGATGTGGATACAGCCGCGTACACCAAAACAAAAAAGTGTCAGCTGTGAACCAACTGCTTCCGCCCCATCGTCTCCGCTTTAGCGCCCCCTGGCGGGCAGCAGCCAGAACGACAGCAATAATTTATAATATATATATAAAAAATAAATTCTAATGTTTGTGACATTTATCTATTTTACAGCTATTAAATTGGAACATAATTGGCAGACTGTCTTTGCATCACGCCAATGATCAAGCCCCATCTTATAAAGCTCAATGGGTTCAATAAAATTTGTATTTGGACATGGATTATTATGATTTTGTAATGAAGGATGTATATAAAACATACACATAAATACCATGTCAACAAACCTAAGCACCTTTATGGGTGCATTGCTCTTTATGCGCGTGGTTTAACGACGATAAGGATTTTATTTTACCGAAGGCCGCTGAACGCCTCACGCAGCGCCACAACTGCCACGTCAAAGGTGACGTACGGGAGGTGTTGTGCGGATCAGAGGCGGCGTAACCAGCCCAACAGATCACTGGCATATATGTTCTTTAAAGCCCTGACGAACTGCTCCGAAAGGTCAGTTAGAATAATCATACGCATTTATTTATTATGCCAATAGTTAGCATTTTGGCCGATGTTTTAGCTCGATTTCTGTTGGTGCCACTGATACCCACCCGGTAGTAGACAGACCGGGGGCATGCTATTCGTATCTGTGGTGCCGATGTGCAATTGTTGTCTAGTTGTAAGACTGGGGTTTATTTACTGGGTGTGTAGTTTAATCTGTATTCTAAGTATTCGTAGTAGTACGTTTTCGGTTTTATCGGTTTCATTTAAAACCAGTCTCAGATCCATACGATCATAACTTAATAACTTTGAACCATTCATTAAATGGTCCAAATACATCTTCAGTCAATGAATGATTAGAAAATCTGAATCGGAAACATGTACCCAATGTAGCTTAATTCAGGTTTTTTATGTGTGTTTATGCTGTGGAATGAAAGCAGGTGTAATTTGCTCCTCTGCCAGTCCTTGTTTAGATGTATTGTATTTCATTATTTTAGTTGTCACTAAATCGTGTACTCTGTCTCAGGTTGGACACATCCCAAAGTTCAGTAGATCATGGACCCAAACAGCAGTGGTGTCTCTCAGAGGTTGGCTGAGGCAGGCCAGTCTCACCTCCTGCAGTTCTGGGATGTGCTGAGCCCCGATGAGAAGGCTGAGTTAAGTCTTGACCTACAGGGAATGGATTTTAAAGAGATCAATGGCTTCTTTAGAAGTGCCATGAAGATGTCCAGCAATAGCAAGGACGAGAAGATGGACGCACGGATGGAGCCTGTTCCACGAGATATTCTGGGCAGTGTGACCAGAGACCGAAACAGCCTTCGAGATTGGGAGGCGGCAGGTGCACAGCTTTATATGTTACTCTGAAACACTTTTTCAAAGGATTTTTAACATTTCTTACAGTGTCTTAAGACAATGCTGTGTGCAGGCAACTCCTAAGTGCCACTAGCTTGCAAAGACAAACATTTTCAACAGTAAAGTATCTTTTAACAAAACCAGATGCTTTGCTCTATTGCTAACTTTGTTTTGCGCAATATTTCTCAGTGTGGGTCTAGCTCATTTAGCCAGATTTGGATTTTGTCCCAGGACTGAGTGTCAGAAGAGGAAACATCTGGTTTTGGTTTGAGCTTGACGTAAAAGAGAATAGCTTATTGACCCTCACTTATGAGGTCACTCGGTACTCAGTTGTTTACGGGTGTGGCTTGTGTCTGGATGTGTTGGTAACTTTGGGATGGGATAAAGTTTATGGGCCCACCCAGTCCACTGGTTCAGACCTTGATGGCACTTTATTAAGTCACGTAGCTGTGTACCAAGGACGTTATAAACATTTTAACAGATTTATCAGGTGATATTGTAAAAACATGTCATAAATGCTTATGATGCCATCATAAAATGTATTAATCCACAATTAAACAGTTTGGAGAAGTATTAATCAGACATGTTCTTATGAAGAAACCTCGACAATTATCAAAATAGACAAGATATTGCACCTATCCAAACAATGCACAACTGAGGTCAGTTAATGTCACTGTTAGCACTTTTATTTAATTCAACTAATTAAACTAATTCTTCAGCTAAAATGTCAAATTACTAACCACTGTTTGTCTGTTCAGGTTTGCTGTGCATCTCTCAGAACAAAGTTGCTGCGTTGCTGCTGGCGGGAGGCCAGGGGACCCGGCTGGGGGTCTCTTACCCCAAAGGCATGTACGATGTGGGGTTGCCATCCCACAAAACACTCTTTCAGATCCAAGCCGAGCGCATTTTAAAGTTGCAGGAGCTGGCTGAGAAAAAGCACAAGACAAAGTGCAGTATACCATGGTAATTAAGTATTTATATTTAAACAAATAACATTTTGCACAAACTGAACAAATTGTGTGATAAATGGCCATCTACTCTCTGTTTTGCATCAATTATGTTGTAAACTCAGAATGTTTTTATCAAGATGTAAAAATATAAATTCCTGAAAGCTCCTTAGGGTAACAGGGCAGTAGCATGACTGAAGAACTGAACTGTTTTCAATAAGGAAGTAATAAAACTTCCTTTTACTGTCTGTTATCTATTAAACTACATTTAAGTAAAAATGGACTTGACCAGGAACTCTTTTATAGGTATTGTATATAAAATGTACATTATTATAAAACAAATAATGTGTTGTTGTCAGGTATATCATGACCAGCGGCAGGACAATGGAGTCTACGAGAGACTTCTTCTCACGTCATAATTACTTTGGCTTGGACCAGAAAAATGTCGTCTTCTTTCAACAGGGCATGTTACCTGCCATGGACTATAATGGCAAAATCATCCTTGAAAACAAAGGCAAACTCTCCATGGCCCCTGGTAAACTCGCATACCGTAATTGTAGATATATTGTAATGGGTAGTTGTGTGTAATCTTTTCTCTTCTTTAGATGGGAATGGAGGTCTATACCGAGCTCTGGGGGGACAGGGCATTCTTCAGGACATGCAGCAGAGGGGCATTGAGTGCATCCATGTCTACTGTGTGGACAATATACTCGTTAAAGTGGCAGACCCCGCTTTTATTGGTTTCTGTGTGCAGAAGGGAGCAGACTGTGGAGCAAAGGTAACTGCATATTATTACTGTTTTACTGCCAAGGCCTGTTGTGGTACTATTGTCACAATACAAATATTTCTTGAGAAAAAAAAATGTACTTGATATTTATTTCAATACAACAATAATATACATATTTGAATGTGTATAATGTTTTCATACACAATGTTTCCTATTGCCTAAACCCCTCTAACCCTATATTTTCTTATAATAAGTCAGAATGCATAGCAAGAACAACAATGAGTATCCATGAGATACTGCCATACAACAAAGCAATATTTCACAATTTTGTGATCTCCCCTAAAATCTTATTTTTAAAGGTCTGATATTACGCAAAATTGACTCTTGTGAGCTTTAAGTCATGGTGAAAGGTTGTTACCTCATCAAAAACATACCCAGAATTGTGTTTTGTTTCATTCACACATGTTTGAGTACTCTTTTATAATTAGCCTGTCTATATCTCCAAAGCTCAAAGTGCTTTGTTTCACCATGTGATGTCGTGAAGCAGTAGTTTTCAAGTTAACAGCTCCTTCCAACTTTTGTTCAGTAGAGATTGGAAATTCTAGGGCTAAAATTATCCAAACGATTCTAGTGAAAGTTTACTGAGTTTAAAAACACAGTGGAGTACTTCCTGTATTACCACATGGCATCACAAGATGGAATAGAGAGTTTTCTTTTTGAGAGAAAAACTAATCTAAATATGCAGAATCTGTGGTTTAAACATGCTTGATGAGGAAACAACAGTATAACATCAGAAAATAACATAATATGGGCCTTTTTAATAGATTTTATATATACTATGTCTAAAATCAATGTTAATGAATTATTTAGTTTCTGCTGTGGGAAGTCTGTTCCAGGAAGTCTTAATGCTAATTCCCAGAGATTATTATCCTTTGGGTGTGTGTTTATTGTGGCTTGAATGTTGCCAGGGCAGTTATCATTATCAAGGTTTTTGTCCTCTTTGTTTAAATGTTTGTGTAATCCGTCAGTGGTCCAGATATGATCCATAGCAAAAGATAAATTTAATTCTGTCAACTGGAAAAAACTTTAGAGTTTGTCCGCTAATCCAAACTGCTTCTTCAGATCTTCAGTTCTGTGCAGTAATTTAAATAAAACACAAGGGGGAGCTATAGGGTCATATGAATTTCCCTCCACTAAGACAATAAATTTATGATAATGTTGGGAGAACTGGCGATTCCTACATGGTAAAATATAATATCAGTTAGCACAATTTTTAATATTAAAATCTGACTTTTTTGGTCTTGTAGATTACATCGTTTACCAAATTTTCCTTATTTTGTTGATTAACTTGGTACATTGATTTAAGCAAATGGAATGCTGTAAAACTGATCCTGGCTGTTGGGTTAGATGTTTAGATAACCTTATCTTTAAATACTTTCCTTGTCTAAACAAAGATAATTGGTTGATAACTACTAAAAAAAAAAAAAAAATGGAACGTAAGGCCTAGTAAAAGACAAAATAAAACAAAATAGGTATCAACATGATCCATGATTTGTATGTACAAATTTACAAAATCAAAGACTGAACTATGAGTACTAATAATAAAATAAAAAACAAGAAATAATACATACATCATGCAAAATACATAATTAATATTAGCTGTTTTCTAGTTAGCTCTATAGGGATGGATTTTTAAAAGATGACACTCACAGTACTTTTTAAATTATTGTCCAAAAAAATAATCAGTACAAATAATCAGTACTTTTCCTCAGCATAAAACATTTCATGACAATTTAATAAATACTTCCATTAAAAAAAGTCTTCCTTTCAGCTTCTCATCTTTTATCACGGTCTTTCTGATCTCTTCAAGGTACATATTATTTATCTCAGTCCATTACTCAAACGGGTTTGTTGAAAACTGCCTGTGTCACGTTCCATGCAAAGGTTTCATGGTGATGCACATTTGATCAGACTCAGATCT